CACTCAGTCCTATTACCATTACGTAGTGTAGTCCATCCCTTAACTAAATTTATTTGTCGCCCAGGACACACGTTTCCCACGACAAGGAATCGAATTTCGAGTACGTTGCTCTTCTTCATAGAGTAGACGGAACAAGCAAACAATGATTGAAGGGCGTTGTTTGTATCCAAAATGTAAAATTACGCCGCAGTATCAAGCGGACCAAATTTTGAAAAACACAAAATGACATAAATTGTGTGATTTTTGTTTTAAAACAACGTTTTTATTCGAAAATGTGCAACATCTGGCCAGTGTGAGCGTTTTGTGAGGGTCTATATACATGAGTACATGATATACTCTGGTGGTTTGGCGGTTTAAGCCAATTTTAGCTAATTTCGAGTGCTGCTTTTCAGGGGGAGTACATTCACATTTATCGGGTGGTTTACGGTTAAGAAATTATCGCGCGGTTGCGGGAAATCATCAATTTAGCTCGTTCACTTCGGTTTTTACGTGCTTTTGTGGCCACCGCTCGGTTTAGTTTGCATAGATAAATCATTAACGGGGAAACTGAACGGTTATATGAATTGAAAACATCGTCACAAAAGAGGGTCTGTTATAGGTGGTCGTACATTCTGAAAACTGCCGTATTTTACTTATTTAAAAGCGACGACCGCTTCGTTTTCTCCTAAAAACCAAAACCACCCTACTAGTAGGACGATTATCATCACAACAGATCTTTTAACAGTACGCAAAAAATTCTTTACGATATGTTAGCTCAATAATCGTGTTTAATTTCTCCTCAGAATGACTAAATTGTTTCTAAACGAATTGTTTCTAACACCATTCAGTAACCAGCGAACAAAATATTTTGACGTCTAGTGGGCTTTTCACAAACACAAAAATTGCTCGAGGTGCCGACAACATCGGATGAAAACACAATAACCAGCTGGTGTATCAGTACGAAATTGAGCTTAGGAAAAAACCTATTTTGCCATGTGATATTTTTTTTAAAGAAAAATACACAATTAATGGCTAGTTTTGAGATTTGATTTCTGGCAAAGATCTCGTTAATTTCATGTTTTGTTTTCGAACTGCGACCTCAGGGTCTATAGAGCGTGACACAAGTATCAAAATATATAACAAGTTTTGGCAGAAAATGTTTGTCTGCCTCGTGAAAACCTCTGACCTTTGAGTTGAACGCCCTTATTACGAGGGTTTGACGGACTAAGGCGTAATGGATCACTCTACCGCCCCACCCCCACCCCCATGGGATGATTATCCTTCCCACGGACACCCCAAGCGTTAATTCGAGTCATTCGTGTAAAGAGGCGCTGTGAGAGCAACATAAAGAGTTACGAGCAAAAGACCGTACGATCGTTTTTCCGGCGCACTAACCTTACAAAGGACCACATAGGAACTTTAAAACGTATCTTTCTTTAGGTAGAGATACTTTTGCAATTCACAGTTCAACGCTCTTTGCCAAAAGTGGACTATTTTGGTTGCGCAACTGGTACAAGGAGCTTGGAAAAGATAAAGAAAGTCAGAGTTACGTGGATAGGACGATAATTTATTCATGTTGTATTTTGCTGAAAACTGAATATATTAGCTTGTGTTGATTACATTACTGCATACATCAGCCTGTGTTAATCGTTTCCTGCACCCAAAACTTGAGGTCCATCATGTCAGCGTACACCCCGTATCTTCCTCTGCGCGCGCAGCCTATCCCCCAGCTAATGACACCCATGAGAAACCACTTGTCATTCCTCACACAGACCAGCGGTCCTCCGCTGTCTCCTTGACATGCGTCAATGGCTCCCTCGGAGTAACCTGCACAGCGCATGCGTGTTGTTATGGTGTATCTCAAGTCGTCGTATCCTTCTTGACAAGTGTCACGTGACACAAGAGGAACTTCTGCTTGCTGTAAAACCTGAAAAATAATGCAACTTCTTCAGTATGACAAGTGTTATTGTCAAACTCTGGTTCATTGAATAATGAGATTCAAGAGTTTTCATTGGCTTAGCCATCTTGATATATGAGTCATTATACCATGCTCTACAAATATAGTAAGAGTACGCGTTATTTGATTTTTTGTTTTGGGGGAAGGAGGAAGGGGTGTTAATTTTATTTTCGTTTTCTATATTTTGGGGGCATTTTTAATAAAACGATTATTCCACTCGCGCTTGTTAAATGTGAGATGATTATAGCCAACGCACGAACGTGGAATAATTGTTAATTATACCATGAAAAACCTCAATATATTCGCTGCTTTCACATTTGTGTGTGTGTGTGTTTTTTGCGCGGTACGTTTTAGCAGGTTGATAACTTCGAGACCCAGGGCCAGGCTGTTCGAAAGCCAGATAACGCTAAATTATCCTGGATTAACAGTTAACCGAAGTATTACCTTTTCTTGTATAAAAGTGTTTTTCGCATTTCAGTTTTTGTGTAGTTTGAGATTATTCAAACTCAAAACTGAAGGACAAGCAATATAACAGAAAACCTCACCGAAAAGTTACAAAACTGAAATTAAAATTCTCGTTAACGATGGGTTAGCTTTGAACAACCCGGCCCAGGTGAATACCGCATTAATCGTAGGATACCTACGTTACCTGACGACACAATACAAAGTACTGCACAGTATTTCCTCGCACCATTTCACTTACAATTTGTAACCTCTAATATGTTTATAATTTAGTGGTCCTACGAATCACTTAAAGGGGCCCAGTCACGTATTTTCAGTTATTTTGGCCACGAACAAGACTTGCCTTAAATTGAAGGAAACCTGAAAATTGCAGTTTGTTAAGATGGCAAAACACCAAGAAGGTAATAATAGCGCATAGAGGAACAAGGATGGTAACGGATGGAGACGACTAACACGGATTACAAACAACGAACTTGAAAGTTCAGGCTAAACTTTTCAAGATGCGTAACCCGTGACATAGCTCCTTTAATTAAAAACAAATGAATTCCGAAGTTGCATTGAGATGGTACCCGCAGGGGAAGCGGAAGAGAGGGAGGCCAAGGAACAACTGGCGACGGTAAATAGAGGGTGAGACGAGGAAGACAGGCCTCAACTGGCAACAGTTGGAGAGACAGTCACGAGACAGCTCAGAGAGGGATGGAGAGACTTCCTTAAGGACCTATGCTCCCCACAGGGTGAAAAGTTTTAGGTTAGTGAGTCATAAAAAGTTAATACAAATTCTAAAACTTCGACCAGTGGTGATTGTTATGCAGAAACTAAAACTAAATCATCCTTCGCCATGCAAAACGAGGACACGAGTTCCACATCATTCCGTCCTACCTGGGGGATTTCTCCACCTTCCGTAGTATGGCCCCACCCAGATATGGAACAGTTGGTTCCAACGTCGAACTCAGTCTTGGCGAGACACACAGGTCTCACGTGAGTATTGTACTTGATTGGGTTCTTCAATTTTATCATCGCCACGTCATAATCGTGATTGCTTGACGCGTCATATTTTGGATGTTTGATGATTCTGTCGATGATCATGTTTTGCTCGTAGCCCTCCAGTCCATTAAGATCATATTCACCTGTCGAGGAGTTGAAAAAGAAAAACATTTTTTATCGAGTAAGATCCTTTTTGAAATACAGAGGAAACGGTTTTTTTTTAGTAATATATCAAATGCGAAATAGTGTGTTTCGCCACATTTCGAAACACCGAGAAGAGAAATGAAAATATACGACGCGTGACGGAGTATTTTTTGACGAAACTCGAGGTGTTTGGAAATGTGGTCAAGCACCGTCTTGAGTGTTTGATATTTGTTCTCAATCGAAACTAAACCAAAGAGAAAATGGAAAAATAAAATCGTAAAAATGTATGGTAATTAAGATCAGATATTCGAACCTCGACACGGTCATGATTTCCTTTGTTTTAACCCTTGGACGTACAAGGGGGAGTAGATGCCATTTCCCAATAAGGTTTCATCAAAGTTTTGAACAGACGTCTTACTCTAAGGGGCTAAAACTTTCGGTTGCTGTACCTTCACTCTCTGCGGAAATTTTGATGTGCTAATTACGTCTCCATTATTTTTGACGTTGCCATGGCAACCATCAAATTTCATGTAGGTATCACTAATAATCAACTTTTTTTGAGATAATTCTGCAGTCATTTGACGTCATATGACGTCATTACCAAAAAAAATGGTATCATCTTGTAGAGCAAGCTTAGGGTTATCTAATCAATGTAAATTTATTTCGCTCTGCCCTAACATAACGAAAACCAAGAGGGGGTTCCATCCACCCCCCCTCCACTTCTTCACGGTGGGGGTACGAGTTAGCTTGTACGTCCGAGGGTTAAGTTGATGACTTTTTATTGACTTTGAAAAAAAACTGTTCTTGACCGATCTGTTTTTTCTAAATATTCCGTGGCTTATGCCCGCCAAGAAGGCTTATGTCCGAAGCTGCCAAGGGAAGCCTTCTAAGCTACTATATTGAAAATAATTAAAGTTTATACATAACTTTGTCAGTACCACTACGGTTCTAGCTTGTTAATTTTAGGTTCGCCAGTCAACCATGGTTTAGAACGCCTTTGCAAATCATCATTAACAATTCTTGTTCTTCAACTGGTGAATCGGGCTACAAGCTCGGCAGGTCGTTGTGCTAGGACGAAGATAACACTCGTGGTGGAGAGAATTTCAAGTTTTCGTAAGTGTCACACAAGCCTCGCCACCATGACGAAGTGATGCCCAGCGGTGAGGTCTTTGCAAATATATAGACATGTTTAATTATTGAGCTCTTCGATTTTCAAATCCCTTTGTGAAACCACGAACCAATTCAAAATAAGTCTTTAAATTTTCTGTCGACTTAGCTTAGTAGTTAGCCACATTTGATCGGGGTAGTTAGCATTTTATTTCATTCACTTGTTATAATGAATTATTTGATGAGTTCACATTAGTTTTCTCTATTTCTAGCTTATATTTAAGACCACTTAACATGAAAAATTCGTTCAGATGCTAAAATGCTAAGAACACTTGATCAAATCCCCAAGTAAGCGATAACTTAATGCTTTTCCTACCAGCAACGATAGTGTACTCTTTAGGATCAACTCCGTACACAAAACAATGAGCAGCAGTGACAATCCAGTGCGAAGTCACAATGGATCCTCCACACCAGTGAGGGCCATGGTGCCCAGTGTAGTCCATTGTCACTTGCCATGGCCAAGCCCCTGGTTTGGCGTTTGTGCCCCCCACAATTCTGCTACCGACCACTCTTCTGCCACACTCTACGCTGCCTAGTTAATGAAAGGAGATTGCAGTTAAGTCAGCTCACATGCTAGATATCTTAGGAACCAGGAGCCTCAATGCTTCGTCGATCACGGTTTGCGTATCTGAAACCATTTCGCCTAAATTTTTCAAGTTCGTCGTTTGTAATCCGTGTCAATATCTTCTCTATCCTTAACCATCCTTCTTCCCATATGGTTTATTAGAATCTCTTTGTCTTAGTAAACTACTATTTTAAGGTTTCATTCAATTTAAAGGTAATTTTGTATGTGGCCAAAATAACTCAAAATACCGTGACTGAACTCCTTCAAGCCCCGGTTTTTGTAGCATGAAGACATTAGGACCATTGGACCAATGCTACTCGTCTCGGAGGGGGTGCTACAACCCTAGTCATAACTCTTGGGACCTTTGTTTTTCATTTTAAATAGGAGAATATCTAGTACCTCCCGGCCCCCTTCCGTTTTATATTACTGTGTTGAGTGGAAATCAATGTCTGCTATAATTGCCTATGCTGCAACATTGTTTGAGGGAGGGAACGTTCTATTTGGTAGCAATTGTGACTAATTGTCTCTCATTATGAGCAAAGCCGGTTTTGTAATGCACAGGTAAGTAAAAGCTCTTCAACGATAATAGCGAACAAAGTTTCGGAGTCGTCATGACACCATTTTCAAGTTCAAATAGATAAGAAATAAACTGTCAGAAGAAGATTAACACATGCGTTGTTAAGATAAATATCCAAAGGAGTTTATAAGGCCATTGGACTGTGAAAGGTTGCAACAAATTTGGAAAGGGCTAACACTCATGAGAGGCCTTCAGATGACTGTGGACGAAAAGCCATAACAAAAGGCAACACAGCTGATCAAACACAACAAACTCAACAAAACTCGCATACTAGCGGGGAAAACAAGTTTATATTGTCCATAGTTTGGCTTCTGATGGGATAAAACAAAAGCGTGTCGGCTATTGGTTAACAGAGCTCTTGGACAAGACACGAGGTTTTTCCTTCCTTTTCTTTTTTTAAGCGATATTTGAACCAAAATAATGACATGAAAAGTAAAACAATTCTAAGCGGATTTACTTTTATGAGATTTCGTTTTTCTTTACCTTGGTCTATAGGCTGTTCTGTGCGTGGAATAGTTGTAGGTGGCGCAGTCGTTGGTACTAAACAAAATAACCAAAACCAAAAATGTATATAAATGCAGTAACCTACTAGTTTGTATTGCTTATTTGTGGTGACATCTGTATAACACGTGGATGTAGTGAGAGGGTATGGAACAAATCATGACTGAAAATACTAAAAATGCCTCGAGGATAACATAACAAACAAACCAACGCGAACTCTAGACCGATCAGAGCTTTCAAATCTGAGAGGTGTCAATGCCATTCTTCATTTGACCGTAATATAAGATTCGAAAGTTAAGACTTGTGCTTATATTGGTTCGAAGCTAAGGCTGTTCATGATCCTGGTGCTTTACGTCGGGGGTAGGGAGGGGGGAGAGAGAGGGTAGGGGGGAGGGAGAGGGGAGGGGTCTTCTGTTACTTGGATTGCTTATTTTAAGCAGGAAAGGTTTTAAAAAAATGCGTGGGTTTAGGTATAGAAGGGATGTTTCAGAAACACAAGAAGATGTTGCTTTCAAATAGACAGTACAACTCTTTCAGCAAACTGTATGGACACAACAAGAGCTTGTAATTAACAGAATTTACATCTTTCTTTGAAAGCTATGCATGAATATAAGCCCATAATAGACCATGATAGACCATTTTACGGTCACCTAGCCTTTGAATGGGAGCGAGGCAAAAGGTGACTAACTAATTAGCATTAAAACAACTTGATTTACATTTTCTATAGTTCGTTTTCTATAGTTTTTTTTTTGTCTTACCTTTCTTTTGTACCTGAATGGTGTGAATAAAGATTGGTGTTGTTACACAAAAAAGCAGTGAGGTCTATATCAAAACAAGGTCAGCTCCAAAGGCCAGGTCACTGAGCAGACAACTGTAAAATGGTCTCTTCGGTGAAGGATTGAGAAAGAGCCTTATTGGCTTTTTATCTCGGGGAAGGGGAAACTTGATATCGGAACTCTACGGGTTTTAAATATGCTAAGGAAAGAAACAGCTTAAATTCCAGCTGATCACATGATGCTTATAACCTTCAATCAGTGATATCGTGAGTTCCTACCTCCACACACTGAACAGGTCTTCGAGCAGTAGAATCTCATTGACACGCCAATGACTTTGTCTTGGCACCGATTCTTAATTACTTCACAATAGGGAACTATATCGCGGCATTCTGAAACAACCGACAACAACAACAGCAACAACAACAGTAACAACAACAACGACAACAAAGAGTAAAAAACTGGGTGCTTTTCATGTACATGTAGTTATGATAATTAAACTGTAGACAAAACGCTAACTAGTGAAAGCATTTCGTCTTCAGTACAGTTAAAAACTTTTCATTGAAACAGTGGCAATCGTGTCTTCAGACTAGTCTCAGTGCTTCGTGCTTCGTGTTTTGAAACTAAATTCGCCATGTTTTTTTGAAGCTTATGATACGGTCTTTTGATAAAGGCTGCAATATTTAGCAAGTTTGCATCAACTATAGCTAAAAGCTTTTCGTTCACACGGAGCTGTCTCTGACAAAAACCCCTAAAAACTACAATACTCTGTAAGTTTATGTTTCAAACCTGAGTGGTCTCTCATAAATTTCAGCGAAAGGCTTATAGAGAAAATCCCCTAAATAAGCCTCTGGTTAGATAATAAAATATCGAAAGAAAGTTATCGTCAGACATTTTGAAAGAAATCCTAAAATGTGACAGGATAGCCATTTTGGGGTGCTGTTCGATTTAACTATACCAATTTTTCTAGCCAATTTTTTTCTCATTTTATTTTGTTTTCTAACATAATATTCAAGTACTTTAATACTGATCGTTTCAAATTCAAATTTACTTAGAGGTACCAAAGCTCTGGGGGTTACTCAGCAAACTTTTATACGGGGAAGCCCCGCCTCGAGTTCCTACCCCTTACACTTTTGCATACCACTTTGACAGAATAGGTGACCCTTTCGCATAGCATTTATATATATAAAAAAATCTACCCCTTTTACGTACCTACTTAAGAACAGTGCTGCCCTTTTCTAAACCCTTGGAACGAAGTCAGTGAACAATACAACGGGAGACCATTAAGGAGGCTAGCAACAGTTTCAAACACTTTTCTAAAAGCTATACTTTGAAGGATGGATACTGTCACTGTTAAACAAGTGATGCCACAATAATGGCATCGCACAAATGCCCAATCATTGGCAAACAAGTTTATCTATAACAGACTACCATAGCAACGGTAAAACCTGTTAAAACACCCTTAATTTTAGATTTAAGCGCTTATTACTCAAAAACGAGCTCGGTGACCCCCTTTTTTTATTATCGAATAGTGATAAGCATGATAAGATGCAACTTTACAAAGTTTAAAAAATTCTTGACAGGTTTCAGAGCCACCTTAAATTTTCGAAATTTTTAACTGGAAGGACCTCAGTACAAAATCGACTCTGGGAAGGACATCATTTGTCTTGCCTCCCCTTTCCCCCCCCCCAAAAAAAAATATCCGCTATGATTAAACATGTAATCATTAAGAGAGCGGGGGGGAGGACCATATCTTTTAAATTATTATATAATAAGAAAATAAGCAACTTACGTTTAGGACAAAGGTTACACGTCTTCTTGCAGTATTTGCTGACAAACTCTTTATAAGAGTTGTGTTTACAGTAAGGCTTGTAAATCGAGCAATCATGGTAGCCATCTTTGCAAGGTGCTGAGAGAAATATAACGAATTCAAGCAGGAATGAATGCATATAACGATGGAAGCTATACCAGAGTTGTCAATAATTAGTGCATTTTGATTGTCATGATGCGTTACGAGGATAGCACTTCAGAGAAACAGGTTTGGGCGACTGCTACTTTTTTCCTGATCATCAGCAGAGAACAAGAAAGCGAGCGAAAGAACACATAGCTTATATCCCAAGTTAATCATAAATTTAGAAGCATTCTATCAGGATGCCGTTTAATTCTCTTATCCTCTCACTAGTAATTCTCGATTTTTTGCGTTTTCAAAGTGTCAGTGAAGAGGATTTAGATAAAGTTTTCAATGACTAGTAGCCTTCCTAGTAGATTTATACTAAAACAATTAGATCCGATTTTCTCTCGATTTCTAGGCGTGAATGCTGCGTCCTCGTCAACAACCTCGTTCCGAGGGTCTCTCGCTCTGGGAGGGCGGGAAGATGAGAGACCCTGGAAACGAGGTTGCCTCATCAACTGTCATGTGATAGACATCTCGAGCTCCTAACCTTATTGATAACTATATCGAAAGAACCTTAAATCATTATGCGAAATACAAGAAAAACTCTTATTAGATGATAATAAACATACTACACTGGTCAGTTTATATCACTGCAGTACATCATAGTATATTCAGTTCGTTTCTTGTGTTTTGGCTCGTCACGATAACATACGCTTGCTTTCAAAGATACGGTGCAACCAGGAAAATATACTTAGACTAGGTTTACACTAGACGAAATTGTTCCGGATTCGTGATGAGTCCGGAACGTTTTAGTACCGGATTGATTTAGCCGTTTACACAAAAGTGGACGAATCCGAAATAAAAACTCTCCGGTTTGGACGTGTCTCCGGAGATTTTGAATCCGGAATTTAAAGTGGGAGCTTTGAATCCGAAAACTCTTGATCCGGAGAGTTTTGTCTGCGATCTTTTGAGTTTGCGGAGGAACGAAAATGGCGGATTACATGATCCAGTCGTAGTCGAGTCGTAGGCACATTCATGGCCATTTGATGGTGATCGCTGGCTGATTACCTCGTGCTGTTAAAGGTGTAGGCAATCACTTTTATAATGGGTAATGCCATAATCATCAGAAATCCAATTTATCGACGCAATCGATATCGACGCCTTCCATACCTACATACTTTACTGCGCAGATGACGACGATGGCACGATCGAAAACCTCGACGGTTCTAGATATTAAATAAAGACCAGAATAAATGCCTGGAGGGACATGACACGATGAACAACAGTACCGTGGTCAGCTAGTGGAAAGAAAACTTCAGACTGTCTCAACCTTCCCCTAGCCGGTCCTAGCCTTGTTTTCACAGGCATTTTGTTTCTCGTTGTCGACTTTTTAACCTTTCCATCATGAATGTTCTCGGAGTTATCGTCGTGCGTAAACGGTAAGGAATCCGAATATCCTTTCAGTGTAAACCCCTACTAATCCGACTACTCTAATATTGATGAATCCGGAAACTTTTACGAATCCGAAAAAATCTTCTCTAGTGTAAACCTAGTCTTAATTGTTCTTACAATCAATCGTCAAGGCCCCGTCCACACTCGCCAGAGGAATTTGAAAACGGAGGTTTTACCCTTGAAACGCCTTAAATGCTTTCCGTCCACACTACGCTGGAGGAATTTAAAAACGCAACAATCACCGGTCATTCTGGCTTTGTGTTTGAGGAAAACTCGGTCAGGGAAATCACACGATTATCGAACGCCATCGTTTTCGAAAAGCTCCGTTCAAAACGTTCTCCGTCCACACTAAAACGCAAAGCCGGCGTTTTGAAATTCCTCCGGTTTGAAGAGCGTTTTCGGAAAGCTTCGTTTTCGTAACGGATTAGTGTGGACGGTAGACCTAACAGAAGGAATTTGAATACGCTGGCTTTTCCTTTTCGTGTGGACGGAAAACATTATGAAAACGGATCCTTCTCGAAAACAAGGGCGTCACGACAATCAGGTGATTTTCCTGACCGAGTTTTCCTCAAGCACAAATCCAAACTGACCGGTGATTGTTGCGTTTATAAATTCCTTCTGCGTAGTGTGGACGGAAACATTTGATACGTTCTCGAAGTGAAACCTTCGTTTTCAAATTCCTCCGTTATAGTGTAGACGGGAATTAAATTTTCTTTGGTGGTTCATGGCGTCAGTTAGACCACGGCTAGTCCCTCTCTCGCCAAGTCCGTCTTGCGTGACGCGAAAGAAAACCGCGCAAAAAAAACAAAAAAAATGGCGGCGCGACATCGTGGGGGTGAGATGTACTCGTATTCTGGGCATCAGTCACGTTCATGATATTGACAAAACCACGCCTGTTACTACGGTTACCTTACTCAGTCTATATAAAACAGAATACTCCATTACAAACCTGCTCTTTTGTTTCTGACTTTATACTCTTCAACTGACTTCAATGCTTCTGAAACGTGTAAACATTAATTTAGTAAATAAACTAGACTCTAAATTAAAATGCTTGCTACGTAAACAATTTTTACGGTAAAGTACACAAAGTGACTATTTCAAAGTTAATATTTTAAAGTATGATTTCATCAATAACCTTTTTAATTTTTAGCAAAGAAGGTGACAGCTTTCTTCAAGTCTTCTACAATACCCCATATTGTTTCGAATATCTGATACAAGTTTCAGACATCCACGTCCACGCAATAAAGGAAAACTTAGAAGCCGAATTTGAATAAATTTTAACTTAAAATATACTCGTTACTATGTGAACAAAAGATTAACAATTTTGGCTGGAAAGTATTCATCTCTAAATGTGTCAGTAAATCGTTTTGTCAATGGTCGTTGGGTTGACAATGGAGAATCTCAGCACAAAACAAGAAAAAAACTTCTGGTCTAGAGCTCGCTATTTTAAAACAAGCACGATAAAAAGGACCAATTGTTTGTTGCGAATTTTTTCACGCCAAACAATTTCTAAGACTTCAAGAGGTCCCGACTTTCCCTGGCAGAATTTATCGATTTGTATAATGGTGTAATGAACTGTTTCACTCGCTTGCGAGTCTATGCAAAGAAAGAAACGGTTGTGTTCTGTTGTACTGGTACACAGAGGGAATAACCATTGTACCCCTTTCTTTACGAGCCTTTGTTTAGCTGTGTTGTATATTGATGGGTCTTTTGTATCGGTTATTATGGACCAGTACACGAGGACAGGCCCAGAAAAAAACAACAAAAAGTTGGCGTAATTATTCAGTAAGTGAGCTACGCCACAAAACATACCTTGTAATTTGTCCTTTGCTTGTTGTTCTTCCTCACCATGGCAAAATTCACTCCGGCAAATGAGCAAAATCAGTGCAAAACGGACAAAATGTGCGACAAACATTTTGCTCTTGTGCGGCTGGTCAAATGATAACAGTTAGTTGTGGAAGAACGAAACGGCATGTAAGTCGTATAATATAATATACTTTTGTGCAGCTCGAAAAAATCGCAGCTTTGCAAATACAGGCGTGCAAGCGTGGAATGGTGGGGTTGTTGAAAAATTAAAGGCAAACACCGTGAAGATTATGCGAAAAGAGCGGTCATTGGGAATTCAAAATTTAACACAAGTACCTCTGAGTTTTGTTGTGTTCTCGGTCCTGGCAATGCTTTTCCGTCCATGTAATTTTGGAGTCAAAAGCTTTTTGCAGTCATTCAGTTCTCAAGTTGTAAGGTTTCTACATTGAATAGCTCCTGGAAAGAATTCGGGTCCCTGATATTAGTTAGGACAAATGCGTCCTGTTTAACGAACAACACCCCCCATACACAATTGCTTAAAACCGTACCGCATCGGTTCTTTCAAACCTTTGTTTAACTAACAAAAGAACTCGATGGCTGTAAAGAGAAAAATTAACAGAACAATGAAGTAAATAGTCCCACCGTTTATCTTTCCAAAATTCATACGAAAGCTTGCTAGCTGTGTTCATGAAAACTCTGATCTATGTCTTTTAAAATCATTACCATAACAAAATTTTCTCAAAAAATGTTGATCAGACAAAAATTATGCCTATAGTTCCTTTTTTTTTTTTAATTTT